TATACTTTATACTGAAGTGCAGTATAAAGCCCATACCAGACAAGGGGGTAGAAGGCCAGAGCTGTCCAATCTTGACCTGCCCTGCCTTTTAGGACTGTCAGGCCTGAGTAATTTGGAGACAACAATTCTTCAGTTTTCCCAAGACTGTTGAGTAGACAGCAATACACAGGGAAGTGTTTGTTCTCTGCCTGTACAGGATACACTCTTGGCCTGTGTATACAGGGTCATGCTGTTACACTGTGGATGCTTGTGCAACACCAGACTGACTTAATAAAGCAAACAAAAAGCATTGTTTTAAAAACTGCTGTATTCAAAATCAATAATAATAAACTTTAGGTTAAATAAGCTTTGAAACAAAAGCTTAAGAGCAAAAATAAATAATTTTACACAACTCACTAACCCAGTTTCTTTCGGTAAATCCATCCCCAGCTGTAGGACTCTAAGCCTACGACAGACCTGTGGGAAATTCTCATGTTGATTATCATAAAAAAAAAAAAAAAACCAGTAGAAAAACTGAGAAGCCTGAGTAGAACCTTAACAAGCCCAGCACTGTTTTCTTTGTTTTTGAGGAAGTATTTACTCTGTAGTCCAGAACGGCCTGGAATTCACCACATAGCCCAGGTCACTCTCAAATTTACGGTAATCCTGACTCAACTTCCTCAACACTGGGATTACAGGCACAGGCTACCATGCCTAGCTTCAAACACTGGACTTAATGTTTTACTTTAAAACAACCAAACTTTTTAATTTTATACACAACCCATGTAATGCCAAAATAATTAGTATTTTAGTTTGAAAAAGTGTTATTTAACAGGGTGGGACACTATAAATGAGGTCTTCGATTCTTGAAATGAAAATGGGTGTGGAGTGGACAAAAAATCCAGACACTACTGGAGGAACATCTGAAGGCTTGCATCCTTTATTTTCTGTGATGGCTTTGAAGTTATGATTGTTTGACATGTAGAACCTTCGGCACATTAGATACAGCCTTTATTTTTTTTCACAGTAAGTTAAAATCTCATCTTGACTCTGTATAGACCTGAATGGTCTTGTGGGTGGGTCCAGACGTCTGCTGTGTGGTAAGAGTGACGGAAGAATTGCTGCGGCGCCCTCATTTCATACTTCCTTGTACACAATGAATCACTTTGGGAATTTATTCCAGGGGCTATGTACACAAAAGTGTCAAGAAGAAAATGTTCTCCTCTCTTGCATAAAAACGTGTACAGTGCTTCAGGATCGGAACCTCTGCTCTGCTGGGCCGGGCCTCAGGGAGTTCTGTAGCCAGAAGATGAAAGGTTCCTTTCCTTCCTCCTGCTTTATTGCTCTGTGGTTCTGGTATTAATCATCCAACCCTGGTGTTTCTCCTTGTTGGATCCTAGATGCTATCCTGATGGCTTCTTCCAGAGATGGCTGTTCTCCAAGCTGAAACCAGAACACACATCAGACATCAATAATCCAAAGCCCTGATCTGGGTAACGCCAGAGAATTGTTAAATGGTAGAGATGTAATTTTCTCTCGGTAATTCTGATGGTTAGGGTTGCTAAAATATTAGTTAGCTTGATCACTAAAGCATAAAATCAAAACTTCTACACATGAGAACAATTATTTATTTAGTTCTTATTTACTTTAAGTTCTTCAAATGCCAAGTCACACAGCCAATGGAAAGCTTGCTCAGCAGCTAGCTTCTGCATTCATGTGCTGAAGAAAACTAACCAATGGCTGGCATTTCCCTGTTTATCAAGTAAACATAAGGAGAAAGCACTCCCCATACAGAAGGTGTGTGCACCTGGCATGTAGGGTTTGTGCTCTCTGCTGGGAACAGGGGCTCCTGCCCAAAGAATGCTCCTTTCACATCTTGTGACTTGCTCACTTTGGGGCTGTATGGGTACTATTGGAGAAATCACTGAGGGTCTGTTCATAGCAAGTTCACCTCCAAGGAGTAGCTCCAACGTGTTTTATTAAAACCCCACCTTGCTAGATTCCATCTTAACAATGAACATGGCTGTCTGGGTACACACAAGGACACACGCCTGACAATTTTTCTCTTGCTATGAATTCCCCAAGAACACACAAAGCAAAGGTAGTAAAGAACACTGTTAGTCTATGTTTTGATTAAGGCCTTCATTCAACTTCTGATCTTCCTGCCTCCACTTCTTGAGTGCTCAGATCAGGCCTGGGCTACCTACCATGCCTAGTTTATGTGGTCCTGGGGATAGACTCCAAGGTTTTATGAATTTCAAACAAGCACTCCATCAATTAAGCCACACAGGGGTGGAGGTAAGGGTGTCTGAGAAAGAGTCTCTCTCTATAGCCCTGGCTGTTCTGGAGCTATGTAAACCAAGCTGGCCTTGAACTCACAGAGATCAGCTGGCCTATGCCTCCTGGGAGCTGGGACTAAAGGTACATGCCTCCGTTGTGTGGTTTCTGGTCATTTTCAGATCACCCCATTATATTAATTCTCTTAAAGCAAGTTAGGCACACAGAAAAGTCACACATAAGACCCAGATCCCAGGCCGAGAACTATGTACTGCTGCTGTCCACCTAACCTAGATGATGTGGGATTTCCCTCTGTATGCTGTGAATATGTTTTATTACCATTGGTTAATAAATAAGTTTAGGGCAGAATATAGCCAGGCAAGAAATCCAAAAAGAGATATAGAGAGAGAACAGGCAGAGTCAAAGAGACACCATATAGCTGCTGAAGGAGAAAGAAGACAGAACTTTACTGGTAAGCCACAATCTAATGGCAATATACAGATTAACAGAAATGGGTTAATTTAAGATATAAGAAATACATCTACCCCATTGGCCAAGAAGTGTTATAGTTAATATAGTTTCTGTGTGATTACTCGGGTCTGGGAAGCTGGGAAATGAATGAGCAGTCTCCACCTATACCTGCACTCACCTGAACTGCAATCTGGGTGCCATTGGATGTTGCCACTAAGGTCAGAGGTCTGGTTTCTGTAGTTACTAAATGATGGCTATGTTGTTGGTGTCCCATTTCTGAAGAGGCTGTATGGAATGCTGCCAGATCTTGAGCCACAATTGCAACCTTAAGTGAAACAAAATAAATAAAACACACATGAAAAAAATTTATGACTCATTAGGTTAAAGTCTACTTTGTGTGAAGGACCAAAAATGTGTAAGCACTTACTGCTGGAACAGACTTTATACACCGCCTAGGATGGACTCTTTCATTTGAGGAAATTAAGTCTCCCTCAGAAGGGATTCACCTACGACCGTGAAGTAAGTCGATGGCCAAACGGGTAGAGAGTACTGGAGAAATGGATCTGCCATGTCTAGGCTAGGGGGAGAGGCTGTCCCTAGGTTCTGCTGTCCTGAGGATGCTGATGTCTATTTATTCCAGTGTGTGGACTGGATTATTTTCTCCTTTTGTATTTACAATTAGACTTCCACTTAAATGAGGACCTGGAAGGACTGGTGACATGACCGACCAACAGCAACATCTCCTTAGATACCTGAGACTCATGATCCTTGCAGTATCTCCTGAAGCCTCTTGTTTGTTTGTTTATTTATTTATATGGGTGTTTTGCCTGTATGTACATCTGTGTACCACTTTGTGCCAGGTGCTGGAAGAGGCCAGAAGAGGGCATCAGATCCCTTGGGACTGGAGTTACAGATGTTTATGAGCTGCCATGTGGGTGTTTGGACTTGAACCAGGTTCTCTTGAAGAACAGCCCGTGTTCTTAACTACTGGAGTCACTTCTCTAGCTTTGTTTTGGTGATGTTTTTGTTTGCTTTTTTATTTTTGCCTTTTGGTTTTTTGAGACAGGATATCTCTGTGTAACAACAGCCCTAGCTGTCCTGGAACTAGCTCTTATAGACCAGGCTAGCATCAAACTCACAGAGACCTGCCTCTGCCTCATAAGTGAAGGGATTAAAGGTGGTGCCACCATCACCCGGCTACTTATTTTTGAGACAGAGTCTCACTATGTAGCCTTGGCTGGCCTAGAAACTGCTCTGAACACCAGGTAAGACTCAAATTCAAAGATCTGCTTGCTTTTGCCTCCCAAGTGCTAGTACTAAAGGCATGTACTTGTATGCCTAGCTGTATGTGTTTTTTTTTTTTTTTTTTTTTTTT